TAGGAGATGCTCTGTATCTCATTGTACAACTGTATAGTGACAATAAAGGCATTCTATTCTATTCTATACTTTACACATTTCCCTTCACAGTTTGTGAGTAAGTATCTTCCCTCTAACAATAGCTTTTTCAAATCTACACAAAGTCACGCATTCCCATTATTTAGATGAGACTGGGAGTCGTAGTGCCGCCTCTACTCTATAAATAAATGCATTTAGCTAGTCACTCTTCTTTAGAAACACCACGTCTTGATCTTGACAGCTAACAGAATAGTTTAGAGATGCATGGAGATGGCAGGAAAAGCATTTCTAAGATCAGTGTGAGACAGACTTTCTACAATTTGAAGGTATTCTGGAGTCCTGTTACTGTTTCTAGGAGGGAGGCCCTTATCAAAAAGGTGAAAAAGAGCACACAAAGAGCAGCGAAACACCTGCAGAAATTTCTTTCCATCAACAAAGCCCACCTGTGTACAGCAGTTCAAAGCAGCAACAACATCAAACCAACAGCAAATCAAGACAACTTATTCAAAGGTACTGCATAAGCAACACAAAATATCTGCTTGAAGTTGTTGCTTTAAGAAGAGTTCAGTTAATTTTCCCAACTTGTGGGCGAATAATTTTTCTGCTTCACAGAAATTCAAAAGAGTTCATAATTTTACGTGTGTAGTTTTTTTTTTTTGTGAAATGAAATTGGTTTGTTTAGTTGTTTCCATGTCACCGTTCAGGTGTTTTCATCTGAAGGTGGGATGGTTCACCAGGTGGTGATGACACACATGAAGGTTGATGCAGGCCAAACATTTGAAACGTCAAGTCTGGCACAATGAAACTGGGAAATAAACACTGAGCAAATGTGTAAAGTTGTGTCCTATGCTTCATTTTTGTGCAGTTTTTCTCATGCACCATTTGAAATTAACTTTGGAACTGAAGACTGTTGTGTTTTAACATGTATATATGTTTTTTGGCTGTTATTACTATTTTTCTTTTATGTGTGTTAACTGATTGACAGGAGGCAGCATGTGCAGCATAATTCAACACATTCAGCTTTTACCGGGTTGATATTACAATAAAAGTTTAAAACCTAATTAAGATGCAACGATTTTCAAGTAATTTCACTTCCTAATAAATGTTCATACACGATTCAGTTTTCTTCATGTTCTTTTGATGACTAACAGAAAGGAAAGGAGCAAATACAGGAAGAAATACAAAAAATATATACAAGTGGAAGCACATTTTGTACTTTTATCTAAAGACAGCAAAACTTTACAAACTTTTCTATCCAATCCCCAGGGGAGATTTAGCCAACATGCAGCAAAAGATCAGCAGATATCTAATAAAATGCAGGACCTATTATATCTGTACAATACGTGAGTACATTTGGTGCTCCTGTGCCTCCAGACAATGACTTGCACCTCTTTCCAGACCCTCAGCCACAACCACAATAACACAACAGCCCTAGAGAGAACTCCCTGCCTCATCAGTCTATGAAATATTCAGACTCAATCCAGTGGAAAATACTCCCAGACAGTTTATCCCAGGCACCAAAAACACCAACTGCATCTTACTGTTAAACTGCTCGCTATTAGCAGCTGGGGAAATCCATCTCTCTTGGTGTTCACGAGTGGATCAGAGTCAAAGCAACATGCTGACCACTGCAATCCAGAAGCTGCTATAGGGCACATGAACTCCTGTGATACTCACAGCGACAGTGTGTTGGGTCGTGCTGATAGGAACCAGGTGGACAGGAAGCCAGGCACTGACTCCTATCGGGGTTCAGCAGGGGCAGCCTGGAGCCGCAGGACTGACAATCCCACCTGCTGGAACAGGTGGCACATGATGATTGGCAGGCTGCGGGGGAGAGAAGGGAGAAAGGGGAACCAGCGGCTGTCAGTCACTTCCAAAATAAATTTTCACTTCACATGTGAGTTGCAAGACTGCTTGTCACATCTCAGTCCTCGCTCCTATAGTGGAAAGGAAAGGAAAATGGATGTGCAGCTCATTAAAAGGAATTATTAAATCAAATCCAGTGAGTGACTTCAAATTCCCTGACAGGCTGGCTGGGGTCTTCTAAGACTATGCAAAAGTACTGTTGAGATAACTATATTAGGCTACGCCATGATTTTCTAAAAAAGGTCTTATTAAAGACCTCAAGTTCCTTAACATCTTTAACTTTAGCACTGACAGTTGTTTTGTGCAGTGAAGTGCACCTATACCACAAATAGATCAACTTTTTGGGATTTCCTTACCTGGATGATTAAGACCATGTATCTGTAAGCGGCACAATGAAACAAGAGCAACGAGAAGAAGGGAAACAAAGCAATGTGGAGGTTTCTGTTGTTTTTAATAGGAAATCTCAACATTATAGAATAAAAAGCAGCTAAATCCCTTTGAAACCACCACAGCCACCCACACAGACACACATAAGTAGAAGAAGAAGAGGAAAAGGAAGAAGAGGAGGAAGTAGAAATATAAAAAGCTAAAGGGAAAAAAAGATTCCCAGAAAGATTAAAAGAAGTCTGAGAGGAAGAAGGAAAACGAGTGGGAGAGATAATCTTATCAACAATGTGAGTTCAGACTCACAACTTTATATTCGCCCACATGCACGAAGCAAAACAAAATAAAAGAAGAAGAAACTTAAACAGTGATAGCAAACACAGAAATGATGACTGTGACTGTGTGCAGTGCACCACTGATACAAGCTAAGTGACCAAAAACGTGTCACTTAAAGCTAATCAGAAATCAATAATATTTATCATGCTGTACTTAAACTAATGTCGTTTTCAGGATTCCAGCAAACGGCCCAAACGTCTCCTTTTAGTGATGATGTTCGCGCTTGCTGATGATCACTTAAACAAGCATATTGATTAGCAGCACCTGGGTGCTACTTACCCTTTTATGGATGGAAACAGTACTGTAGATTTGAAAGCGAGACCTACCTGCACATACTCGTCCTTCGGCGTAGAAGCCCACTGGACAGACAGACAGGCAGCGGCCGAGATGAAGTAAGGCCTGTGGGTCCCTGCAGCTGTCACAGTGATCAGGCGTTCCCGAGCACGACAGGCAGTCTGCGTGGCACTGGACTGTAAACACACATCAAGTTCATTTAACTCAGAGATTTGGATTTCAATAATAAGTTTGCATTTTGGTAAAAATGCAGGAGCACTTGGTACTCCACACACATTTTCACATTTAATTTTATGCCAATTATATCTAAAAAATTAAAAAGTCCTGTGCACTTAAACTATGCAAAACCACACACAGACACACACACACAATTTATTTATTTTTTAATAAATTCCATCCATTACATTTGGTTCTACGGTCAGACTGTTAGCAGTAGCACATTTTACTCGGTTAACATGTATCCTGTGGAGAGATTTTGAATACCAGTCTGCTGTCTGCCAGCAACTCCACTGGTGCACTTTGCGATCAAGAGTTAAAGTGCTTTCTCTGCCCACACTGGTTCCCAATTGATCCAGCATTTTCCCAAGTATTTATGAGTGCTAGACTGTTTCATTTATTTGCCAACGAATGATACTTAAAAGTCACTCTTCACTGTGTAAGCCACTATGTAAACCTAAATATTAGGAGGAAATCTGAAGACCTAAAAACCCGAATATGCAGATTCTGTAAGTCCAAAAATAAAACCCTGAACAGTAACCCTCTCTGCTTTTAATATTGGACTTAAAAATGTCCTTTTTCATAAAGCATACAGGTCTGGTTGCATCAGGTGAGCTTGCCTGCATTAGTTACTCTACAACAGACTAAGGCACCTGGGCGCTTCCCATGATGCACTGAGCATTTCTTCTTCACTCACCTCTTTTCACTCTGTCCTTACACATTACTCTGAATTTAGAGTCAAAGTTAAAGTAAACATCTCCACTATATACAGTACAGCAGCAGTCCCCAACCTTTTTTGCACCACAGACCGGCTTATGTCCGACAATATTTTCACAGACCGGCCTTTAAGGTGTCGCGGATAAATACAACAAAATAAAACCAGTACCTGTTCAAAAAAAAGATTTATTCATAACACACGGGAAAAGACCCAGGGAAACAGAGTTAATGATAAAAACTAAAAAAATAAATAAATAATACCGATAAAAACCCTGAAAACCATAAATTTCACACCCGAGCCTCAACTCTTGCGACCCGGTACCAAACGACTCACAGACCAGTACCAGTCCATGGGTCGGGGGTTGGGAACCACTGCAGTCCAGAATATAGAGAGATGAGACGACGAGGCTCCAGTTACATCAATACAAAAAAACTAACAAAAAAAAGATATAAGAAGAGTCAGAAAAGAAATATAATAAATATACACTTTTAGTGTATATTTATTTAATTACTGGTTAATATTTAATCTTTGTCGCTCTTCCAGAGTCTTTTATCCTGTTCCTGAGCCTGGTTGGCAAGGTTGGTTCCTGTTAAAAGGGAGTTTTTCCTTCCCACTGTCGCCAAGTGCTTGCCCACATGGGGACATCTGATTGTTGGGGCTTTCTCTGTATTATTGTAATACCTTTCTCATAATTTAGCAATCTATAAATAAAATTAAATTCTATTGAATATGTGAACTTGCCTGCTAAAGATACCTAACAGGTTTCCTTTCATGAGTGATGCAACTGTCTGGTTACATTCTGGTATGATTTCACATACTTCCTCCGCGCCTTTGAATGTGATGCCAACAGCTACTTTATGACGGTGAACATGTGATGATTTAGGAGTGCGATATCTGTCCCATAACCATTGTTCCAGAGTGCGTCACTCACCCACACCATACAACACATGACACCAGCAGCTTTGATAAAAGTGGCACAATTTGATACCCATGAATGAATGAGAAGGTGCTTGTACACCGCTGTGAGGGCTGTGAGTCACGGGTTAAGACAAAATAGTAAGCGCTTGTATGGGATTGCGTCACAAGTCCTGTGAAACTGGAGGTTTTTCACAGGCTATGGGTAAAATGGGTCAGTTTAGGTCTAAAGACTAAAGAGCACTATGTAAGGAAAAATGACTAAGCAAACACCAGCTGGTACAGGCAACATCAGTGCTGATGCTAGACTCATTCTGGCATACTAGCAGTTTTATGTAAAAATTAATAAATAAAAGCTGTCTGGCCCCTTTCTGTTTAAAGTCTTAGAAAACTGGTCTGTTTATCAGTATGCAGAGGGATCCATCAGGCATATGCACCACATAGATGCTGGTCAGATGTAATCTCTTTCATTTGACAGTGAAAATGTGTTTCTGCATCTCTTTGGCAAAGTGTTCAGTCTTGCACCCATAAAAATGGACTAAAAAACTACCTTCACCCAGAAAATTGTATCAGAAAGTATTAGTAGGAGCATAAATTATTTAAAAAGTATGTGATAAAGTATTTTAAAGTATACTGAGTGTCATTCATTTTACCTACATACATATTTTTCATTGCTCTTTAAGGCTAAATCAAAACACTCATGGCGTAAAAACTGGTCATTTTTTATTTTCTACAAGAAGTCTGTTTTCTTCTGCAGTGACGTTTTCTGTGACACAAAAAAACTGCAGAATTTCATCTTAAAATAAAATTTATATTTAAAACAAACAAACAAAAACTCCCCTCACTGTCCGGTGTTAAAGTTTTGCTACAGCTTTTTATATGCCCAGGTTTCTTCTGGAAAATTACCTGCCCTTTAAAAGCCAAAACACAACCTCTTAAAAATGAATACGGTCATCTCCTGAAACTACAGATTCGGGGAAATACAGCAGTAATAACACTGTCGTATCTGGATTGCAGAACAAGCAAATGCATGCAGTCTCTTGTTAAACAATAAGCGAGGTTGCTTACACTTGATTGCACTGTGATTGCTCCATTCATTATGTGAATGCATTGAGTAAATGAAGTGCGTGAAGCTTGAGGAAATGTGACTGAGGGATCTGATTAATGTGACAACTGCAGATGGAAGAGAAAAAGAAGAAGAAAACACAAGAGCAAGGACAAGAAAAGACTCCAAGCACAAAGAGCTAGAGCGACAGGAGAGTGGGACGATAACATGAGAAAAATGAAGATGAGACTTAACGGCCAATAAGGCTGTCAGTAAGCCAGGATCTACTGTTCTATATATCTCTGTCCATCTCTTTTCCTACTCTAGTACCACTCGTTACACCCTCTCCCCGACTTCATTGTCCTTTATAGCTTCTTTCTTTCTCACCCATCCATTTCTTTTCCATCTGCCACTCAGTCTCACTTTTTGACCTCCCTTTTCATCCCACAACTGAAGCTATATGCAAAAATAAGAGTTTAAGAGAGAGAAAGTCAAGTATGAAAATGGGAGGCTAAGACAGTTAGCGGTGCAAGTTCTGGCCCGCTGACGGCTTTACCGACTAATATTGTCACGGTTCTGGGTCGGTTCAACCCAGTATTTTGAGTTCTGATGTTTTGGTTATTTTTGAATGATTGTTGTGTTTTTCGGGTGCTATGATGATGATTATTATTATTATTAGATCTCCATGTTTCTGTTTATTCGTGTTTCAGGATTTGTGTCTCATGTTTAGCATTGAGTTCCATGTGTTATATTCTGTCTGTCTCTCAGTGTCTAGTCTGCGTCCTTGTGCAGTGATCTCTTGTTTCCTGTTTTATTGTGAAGGTCTGCGTCTCATGTGAGTGTATTCAGTTTTACCTCCCTTGTCTCGTCTCGTTAATTACTCCCAGCTGTGTGTAATCTCCCTGTGTTTCTCTGAGTATATTTAAGTCGTGTCTCCTGTTGTTGTAGTCGCTGGTCCGTCTGTGTATCCATCAGATTTCATCCGTGTGTTCTTCCTGCTGTCCGTCATCACTTACCTCCGCCCATCCTTCTTCAAGTTCGTGTCCTGGTTCATGTTTTGTAGTTTAGTTGTTCCCAGTTCAAATAGTCTGCAGTCCAGTTTACCGTTTTTCTATTTTGTACTTTACTTTCAATAAACCACCTTCACACCTTTAAAAGTGCCTGTGTTTGGATCTTACTTCATTATTGCCACACGGCTCACTTCACTCACCGTGACTAATATGAGTACCAGCCAAGTGTTAATATCTTTATTAAGCTGGGCTCTCCTGTCTTACGAATCTTCTCCATGTATTTGAACATAGTCTCCTGGCAGTTTGTGAAAAACTTGCACAAACAGCCGTGTGTTTGTTTGTGGACACACATTTATTTATCACACCTGGTAAAAATCAGCCGGTCTCTAAATACTTGAAGTCCAGTTTAGACCAACTCCAATTACTTCATCTTTGAGCCAACATGGTCAAATCGATCTAAGGCTATCTGCACTGATGAGTCCAACTCATTTGAATTGTATCTCTTTGCAGGAGAGATCAACAGTAGACTTCCAGCTGGTTGCCCACTGGTTGCAGTCTGAGTCAGCTGAGAGCCATTTTGCAATTCTGTTGATGTTGGATCTCACATCAGCCTTTGACACCGTTGACCATCGCATCCTACTTGAAAGGCTAAAATACTGGTTGGTGTAACTGTATGAATGTAACTTTTTTGTGGCAGTTTCTAAATATAGGTCATCTTCCACGTCCCTGTACTATGGTGTGCACCAATGGCACTGTGCCGGGGCCTTTATTGTTCTTAATATATCTACTCCCCCTCCAGCATGTTTTGAGCCCCTTTGAGGACATTTGCTACCACTGCTATGCAGACGATATCCAGGTATACATTTCTTTAAGCGCCGAGATGTTTCAAAGCTACAGATTTTGAACGAGTGCTTAGATTCCATTAAAGTTTGGATGGCTGACAACTTAACAAAGGAAAGCCTGAAATCCTTGTATGTGTATATGATAGACACATAGCTAAGATAATAAATGCTCTTGGTCCCTTGGCAACATTTGTGAAATCGTCTATCAGGAACCACATCTTTTTAGAATTGCATTTTGTTAACTGTTGTCTGTTTTGTTTTATACTTTGTTATCCTTGTGTGAAACACTTTGGGATCTTTTATCTAGAAAGGTGCTATATCGCCGTCCTGCAGCAACCAAGTCACTACTTATGGAGGAATTTGTGAATTTCTTTTTAAAGTCGATGACGTTCTGCCTTGACTTTGAATGTAAATAGTTCATGTGAATTTT